CACACACACACACACACACACACACGGGTAACTGGCTTCAAGTCAAATGGCTCAGCAAGAAATCAAAAGCTAGGGTCACCCACAATGGAAGACCGATGCAAGGGCGCATTCCTGAGTATGTGGCAGTGGCGATGGAGTCTGTGAGCGAAGAACCTAAAAAGTCAGTTTGTAGTCATAGTATTGAATTAACTATTGCTAGAGAATCAGCTCGGCACATGTTGAAATACCATCTGAAAATTAAACCGTACAAGATCCTGGTACATCAAAGGCTCAGTGACGCCAATGCAGCAGAAAGTGACAATGTCGTGGACAATTTCGCCAAGAGCCTCAGATCGTGTATCGCCGGAGACGGACGTCATATGGACCATGCGCTCTAACTTCCTTCACACGTAAAAATTTTTCTCGTAAATTTGTCACAATAAATCTGAATCGTGACCAAATGCTTCTCTGTGAAATCGTGTTGTTACTACCTCTATTTTGATCGCGTTTTATGGATAGCTCCGTGGATAAAGGGTGTTTTTTTTTTGGTCACCAGGGTACGTGTAATATTAGAAGCAACGACTTATGAAGGAAAGGTTGCAACATCTTCTGGTCGAAGGACGCCATTGGTAGATCCTTTACTATCCCTTTGCTATTATTGTTATGCTTTTTACTAGCACCGAAAGGATCTCTGTCATGTCGGGAAGCTCTGTCAGCTCAGTTAATATGGCCCTGGCTCAGAGCCACGACTTTGTGTTCTAGAACTTATTTGCAGTTTTTTTCATAACTGGCTTTCCATTAGCTTGGCTTGGTTCTAGTTCAGGTGTACGTTATATTTTATAGGCCTTCTCTGTGAAAAGGACTAGTAATTTACAGTGATATTTTAGAATGCTTTTCAATCAATGCAATGTTATATTCCTGATGTTTTTGCAATGCTTCTTATATTATTCTAATGTTTTTGGGTTTTTCCTTCTTTCTCAGCTGGCGTCCGATGGAGTGAAACTGGAGAACTACTATGTCCAGCCCATCTGTTCACCCACTCGTAGTCAGTTGATGTCTGGCAGGTACCAGGTGGGTTCTTATATTCTAATAAAAAATTTTAAGGGTCTTTTTTGTTTGTTTGTTGTTGTTGGTTTTTTTTTGGGGGGGGGGTTTTGTTTAGCAATGTCATGGTGGCCTCGGCACTGATTCCGTGTTCGGCTCTTCATTATTACAAAATTTCTTCATGGGGAGATTTATTTCATCGAGCTTCAGTGTGTGTAAAACTAAAACATCATTTGTTGCTGCTAATCCAACTGCACATGGACGTCCCCCCCCCCCCCCCTTTCAATTGTCAGGCAGTATTGGGTGTTCTTCTACTGGTGTGTGCTTCCTAATACCGTAGGTCCATTGACATGATGAGATCAGGTTCGGTCGAGTCAATTAACACCTTTGCTTGACACTGCTTCGAAACGCATCACTCCTCTTAGGCTCACAACCTTTTGCATCCACCCTGGCGCACAGAGAGCTTTACAAGCAAGAAAAAACGTACTTTTTCATTTTTCATTTTCAAACTTTCTAAAGGTATTCAGTGGCCAGTACTTTTCCATATCGCCTTTACTTCCCCACTCGAAGTCAGGTACCCATCACTGCTGGGTGGGCAGGAGGGAGCGAAAAAAATCCGTGTCTCAACCGTGGTTCGAACCCAGACTTTTCCGCTTTTGAGACGAACGCACAAACCGATCCGCCACCATACCCTCGCAATATAAATGCGATCCATTATTATCATTAGTAGTAGTAGTAGTAGTAGTAGTAGTAGTAGTAGTAGTAGTAGTAGTAGTAGTCATTCATCATTCTTATTCTGATTCCAACCAGATCCACACAGGTCTTCAGCATGGCCTCATTAACTCTGGACAGCCGTCTGCTCTGCCGCTGGACAACCCCACTATGGCGGACAAGATGAAAGAGGCGGGTTACGCCACACACATGGTGGGCAAATGGCACCTGGGATATTTCAAGGCGGAGTACATGCCCTTTTACAGGGGCTTCGACACGTACTATGGTAAAGGATTGAATAATGATATGGTACACAATAAACTACTTTAGCCCTCTAGAACCTGAACCTATTTCTAGGGATTTTTAAAAATCTTAAATTTGAAATGGCACATGGAAATGCATCAAATAGATGGACTTGGCGTTTATTTTTGACAAATTTGTTTTTTACACCGAGTTCGAAAATGTGTTATGTATGGCACAACAGGCTTTTGGGGAATTTAAAAAAGACCCTTGAGCCATATATTATGGCACAAATCGTTAAGTTGAAAATATAAAAAATATCAGAAGTGTACTATGTGGTTGACATGAGAGTAATAAAAGTATTGATTGTTCTTTTTCCAAAAGCAACAATGTTGCGGAATGTATTATGATACGAATACAGATCAAAAGTTCAACATTTGCACACAAAAAAGAAAATCATTGAAGCAGTTTCGATCACTTTGCACTTTAAACAAGCAATGAAACTTTTGGCATCGCACTTGTTGTTTCTTCATCTGCCCCTGTTGCTGGTTCATTCTGGGATAAGATCATTGTATTCCTGCAACCTGCGGTCGGTGGAGCACTAGTTCTTGACTCATGTGGGTGTAGTTGAGTCAGAGATGATTGGCCTGGTCGTGCAAGTTTTACTTCAATAAGGGATGTTGCAATGTTACCTTGAAATAGTTTAATGGGCTTCGGATAAAGCAGTCTGTAATGTCTCTTGTACCAGAGCCAAGCTATAAGGACAGAAATGTTTAGACAGATAAAGAGGGAACATAATGTACCATCTCCTCCATTTCAGATGATACTTGTAGAGAGAAGCAAGTCCAAAAAATTGATTAATGTCACCCTCGTAGCAGTTGTGAAAAAGGGCAATTTAAGGACAGGAGACTTTGATCCTCTCTTTTTTTCCATTTTGATGTATCTCACCACTTCATTCAAGTCGTCGTTGGCTCCCCAAAAAGTTGAAATGAGATCAGTAGGGTTGTTGAAGGGCTACGTTCAGGTTCTGGTTCAAGGGGGGATAAGACCATAAAAGAGAACAAAATCATTTATTAATGATTTCAAGCATCATAAGCACGGAGACTTTCTGGGGTAGTCAGAGACCAGAAGTGTGAAATTAGTTTGACCAATGCCTGCCACCCTGACCCTACGACCAGCTGAGAAATGTGTCCCTCGCATTGTTGGTACATGCACGGAAGGGTGGCGTTGGTCGACTGTGCTTATTATACCGATGGGTTGAAGTAAGGGAGAGGTTCAATCATTTCTGTTTTTAATAGGTCAAACAGAGGTCCTATGATATGCAAGCTCTGCTGGTGGCAATAGATAAGTGAGACAAACGCATGCCATCAGGAGAAATGTGTGAAGTTTTGACCTCTGCTTGCCTACTGTACAAGCAACTCACCGGCTGGGCTTCTGAAATCCTCTTCCACCCCCTTACATTCCCCTGTCTACGACGAAAAATGTCTAAGACGGAATATTTTTCTAGCTACCTTGCCATTCCGTCTTACACAGGCTCGACTCTAGTTATGATTTGTCCCATTGTGACAACACACACATTTTTATTGGCTACATTGCTTTGGATGACGATATCAGTTTTTGACGACAGTTAAAGAATCAAGTAGAACTATTTTTAAAATATGAAATACAAAACACTTTTTTTTCTAATGATGTTATAGAACATAGATCTTCTGCCATCCAAATTGGTCCCACATATTGTGCATGCAATTTGAAAAACCTAAGCATAGAGTCACATGCGCCGTATACCATACATTGACCGTATGGGATAAAGCGCTATACATGTATATGCAATCTATACTTTTTTTATTTGTTCTTTTTAATAAATGAATTTTTTTATTTCTTTTAACTATCATTTATTATTATTTTTATTATTATTTTTATTATTATTATTATTATTATTATTATTATTATTATTATTATTATTATTATTACTATTATTATTATTATTATTACTATTATTATTATTATTATTATTATTATTACTATTATTATTAATACTATTATTATTATTATTATTATTATTATTATTATTATTATTATTATTATTATTATTATTATTATTATAGCACAGTTTAAAAATCCCTGTTATCCCCGCACTTTTGTCCAGGCTACTTGACCGCCTGCGAGAATTACACTAGCCACAAGCGGCTCTACCCACACGACGGAGTGGCATATCTGGACCTGCGTGACAACAACGGACCTATATATAACGAGAGTGGACACTACTCCACGCATCTCTTTACAGAGAAGGCGATACATGTGGTGCAGGCTCACGATACCAGTAAAGTAAGTAATTTTGTGTGAGAAGGGAGGGGAACAATGAAGTAGAGGTAGAGGGGATTGGGGGGGGGCGTGGTTGTAAAGCTCATTATATAGCATGAAATTATTATTATTATTGTTATTATTATTATTATTATTATTATTATTATTATTATTATTATTATTATTATTATTATTATTGTTATTATTATTATTATTATTATTATCATTATTATTATTATTATTGTTATTGTTATTATTATTATATATTATTATTATTATTATTATTTTAAAATTATTATTATTATTATTATTATTATTATTATTATTATTATCATTAAAGGGGAAATAATGATTTGAGGGAAAAGACATGATGATTTGTTAAACGTTTGTAATGGATAACGGAACCGACTAGATGTTGCAGGTAGCACAAACCACAGGAGACGATCAGAAGAGTCTGTGCCTGGATCAGAGTTTGTGGATGAGACTACGATGTACTGGAAAGCAGAAGAGACATATTATAATGAGGTGTGTCAGATTCTCCTCACAAGATACGCCCCGCTGAATAAAGAAAATGAAGAAAACTACAATACGTTGACCGCTTAAAACGACCCGAGATCATAATGAAAGAGGTGTTTTAAGAAATGATGTGGGGCAGGAGAGCCAGGGGAAGACAAAGAGTATCATGGATGGACAACATGAAAACGTGGACTGGCCTGGATATAATAGCAGAATGTGCAACGGCAGCTCGCGACCATGAAAGATAGAGGGTCATTATACGTCAACCTCTGAGTCAGAGATGACGCCTCCAGAGATCCAGGGAGAGATGTACACAACTCGTTACCTTATAATTACAAAGTTATATGTGCTAAGTATCTAGTTTTGATAAGCTTGACGTCAAAAGTGTTGAGTTTCAAGTCATACCAAGTTTTTTCAAATGCAATTCTTGGAACACATTGATAACGACTCCGAATGATCTTACGATTTTGAACGAGCAGATAAAACATTTGGTTTCCGACCTCGAAGTCTTAGTGACTCAAAACGGCCAAAAATGGACTTTGCAATTCTGAGGTAGTGAGGTCATTGCCACCCTGGGACGTGAATACTGTGTGTGAATATAATTATACAGAGACTAAAGGTCTTTTTGAGGACAACTGCATCCGGATGAATCCATAATCATTACAGATGGCTCTGTTCAACGTGGTGTCAGATTAGGCTTTCAGCGCTCGGGTTTATTGGCAATAGGAATCTGGTGCAGCAACGGACAGCATTTCTCGTAAGTGCTTGGAAGTCAAAGCTGTCACAGAGGCCTTTAGATTTAGATTCTGACCTACTCAATGAGCACATTTGAGAAAATGACGTGCAAGATTCTTCTGTGTTCAATACAATATGCTCAGCGAATTCAATGGGAACAATCTGCGGGTGATCACCTGGATCTTATGTCCTCGACATGCAGGTCTGAGGCCGAATGAGCGAGCAGATCAACTGGCTGGCTGCGCTAGAATGAAGGGATCGCTCACACTTGATCTTCCTACCGTGACTGCGCTCACACGGGACCATCAAGCTAGCAAGGGGGAAGACAGCTCCTATACAATGGAGATATTAAAATGGAAAGAAATACAATCAAAGCAGGTGGAGCTCAGCAACCTCTGCAACCCTGGCAGACAACTCAGCAATCAGTAACTGACGAAGGTCAGCAGTATGGACTATTGATATGATAGACCCTGCTGAGGAGGGGCGAGGATTTATGTTGGTTCTAGGCTAGTAATCAAGTAATCAAAATGGGGAAAAAGGTGGAGATTGATGTTGTTCATGATTGATGTTTTATACGCATGGGGGATTTGTAGAAGGTGGGGGATGCAGAAAAATAAGAAAATAAGAGGAACAAGACCTGTTCAGAGTTGAGAAACATTGTAATCTTTCTACAACTGCCCTCTTTGTCTAAGTTACGGGTTTACTGCTTGGAAAATGAAAAAAGTATCAGATTCGCGCACAGTCGGGAAAAAAATTACTATCAGAGCCGCACACTTTTGACGATGGATACACTTAGATTGCCGATTCCATCCAACGGTTACAGTCCCCTTGACTAAATGACTCTGTACAGCCCCCATCCAAATATATTCTTCTTTCTGGAGACGTTAAGCGACTTCCACGCCATGTCCACGCTTAAACTAAAAACACAGACCAAATAGAAAGACATTGTCTAGAAAAGGGAAGGGAGATGTGTTACAAGCAAATTTACGCAGACGAACAATTCTCACAACTTTAATGTTTATTCTTAATGAGCAAGAAAATGCTGCCCAACACTATAAATAAGATCATCGCCACTTTCCTGTAGATACATGTACGTTTTTATACCCGAAAAGCCAATTCATTCAATACAACATCTACTGGATATTGGTCACAAGCCAAGTAAAACGCAGAGGGTACTCAAATTGTTGGATGCTATTGGTTTTGGTACTCATCGGCAATCTGATTATATCGATATCGTTAAAAAAGTGCGCGGCTTTGATAGATTTGTGTTTTTTTTCGTTTTTAAAAAAATGTATTTATTTAATATTGTTTTCTTTTGTGTGTGTGTGTGGTTTTTTAAAACTTTTTTTTTAATTGGGGGAGGGGGGGGGGGCGTTTGAAAGTGCGCAACTTTGATAGTTTCCCCTTTTCCGAGCAAGAAATCCGAGGCCGGGGCAATTAATCTGGGTTTTTTTTCCTCTGCTCTGATTTTCTCTCCGGAAAAGGTCCTGGTTCAGTAAAGGCCTAGATCTATGTGCTAAACACTAAACACATCAACTACTGACAGTGCTTCTCTTGATTTATTTTCAGTTGTTCGTTATTGTTGGGTTTTTTTATACATTACTTCCCCTCTTGTTCTCCTGCATGTTTCAGCCTCTGTTCCTGTACTTGGCCTATCAGTCTGTCCACGCGCCACTACAGGTTCCCGGGGAGTATGAGAAGAAGTACAGCCACATTCAAGATGAGAAGCGAAGAACATATGCAGGTTGGCAATAAGGTCGTCGTCATTGTTATGCTCGAAAGAGTTATCTTTGTTTAGACTGGAATTAAAATTTGGTGCTTTTGTTAAATTAAAAATGCTCTGCTCATCTAGCTTTCAAGGAACCGATTTAAGAGCCCTCTAAATGCCTTTGCTGAGCTAACAAAATTTTTAATTCAACCCTCTTTTAACGTCAGCTGTGTACCCTAGATCTCACATCTAAAACGTTCTTTTTTTTCCAAAAGCACGCCCATAAACCACAGTCTCGAGCTTTCGAATAAGACTTAGGCTTCCGAAATCAAAGACTTCCAACTAAGACACTTGGGGGGTTGAGGTTGTGTTTGTCTTTATGCCCCCACCAACTCACTTCAGATGATTCTGGAGGTGTGCTTCCGATCCTGCTTGCCAGAGCCACCCCAGGCTGAGAGAGATGGGCTGCAACATCCCAGCAGAAAGACCGAAGTACTCGATAAAATCTTCCTACACAAGGAAATCGAACTCGAGTCTCCTGCATGCGACATCGAAGCGCCTAGTCGCTACACCCCAAACGCCGTTGTTATTGTGTATGTGTGTGAGTTGGGGGGGGGGGTACATTGTACTACACGTAATAACTAGATAAAAAGTGTCCCATTTTTTCCTTCTAGGCATGGTGTCCGCCATGGACGAAGGTATGGGCAATCTCACTAAGGCACTGAAGGAAAAAGGCCTCTGGGACAACACTATTCTTGTTTTTTCTACTGGTGAGTACCAAAGGAATTCTGTGGCCTTGACGAAATAAAATGGGGTATTTAAAATCTGCGTCATGTGTTTCAAATGTGTAAATAAAACTGCTCCTTTTTATCTACAAGAACTTATCAGTATATATAAACCAGGGAGAAACCTAAGATCATCGAACGATAACACCCTACTTGTGACACCTGTAAAATCATACAAATCATATGGAGAGAGATCTTTCTCATATCTTGGTCCATTTATGTGGAACAGATTACCCATGAAACTAAGACAAATAAGAACACTTGATAGCTTCAAAAGACATCTTAAACATTTTCTGTTCCTACAGGCCTATCCTTCATAAGCTTTTAACGTTATCTTTCATTACATTTGTTCTTTTCCTATGTCTGGATGAAAATAGTCTCTGTGTGTGTGTGTGTGTGTGTGTGTGTGTGTGTGTGTGTGTGTGTGTGTGTGTGTGTGTGTATGTGTGTGTGTGTGTGTGTGCATTAATGTATATTGCTTGAGAAGAAAGGAAGTAGTAAGAAAGGTTTTTGAAAAATGGGTATTCCAATGTAAAGCGCATTGAGCTACTTTTTTTGGAAATGCGCTCTATAAATGTTATATATTATTATTATTTGTTAAGTTGAAATAAGAGCAAATGAGAGGGTTAGGGTGAGAAAGAGGGTAACTGCGTTTATCGGCAATTTCGGGAAAGACGAAAAACAAACCTGTTATTTTTATTGTGGAGCTTATTATTTACTTGTTCACTGCAGCATCCCCCCCCCCCCTTCCCCACACACACACACAGAGTAGAAGTGTAGCTTTTGATCTTACTTTTAAAGTCTGTCTGCGGAGAAGGTATTCTCAACAGGAAGGACTTGCTCGTTTCCTCTGATGCCTATGGCCAGGTAGCTATGCAAACACGGTGTGTTTTCCCTGTTTAGTCAAGAAAACTTTTCTCAACTGCAATTATTGTAGGTAAACAGTGTGAGATTGGAGAGAGAAGGGGGCAGAAAAAGGATTCGGGCAGAATGAGAAAAGACAATTTAGGACAACTTTTTACGCAGTCCAATGCTATGTCAGTGGCAGTGGTCTTCTGTAGAAAAAATAGAGGCTTCGGGATGGAGCCTCCTCTGTTGAGTGTTGTTTGTGGACAGGGCTGCGACGCCATCAGCCGAGTCTCATTCACAGCCATCTGTAAAGATTTTCGCTTCGTCAGGGTACTGTTTAATGAGTTTAGTTCTTTTTAATGTGGGTTGAATGCTTTTGTGTCTGTGCACTGTCTATTGTGTGTGGTGCAGTCTAAGTTTATGTTTGCCTTGGTGAGGTGCCTCGTTGAGTAAGATATACAAGTCACAGGCTTCAGATGATTCACTCTGTCTGTCTGTCTGTCTTTCTGTCGGTCTGTCTGTCTGTCTGTCTGTCTGTCTGTCTGTCTGTCTGTCTGTCTGTCTGTCTATCTGTTCCTCATTCCTTGTTATTTGTCAATTTTACCAGAAGAGGCCTAATTGTATTAGTCTAACACTATTACTAGTATATACATCACTTGTGCAAGTATTTAGACAGAGCCTGCTAAGTTGACTCCTAAAATTTCTGTACTGTGTGGCATCGGAATCTAAAAACACTTGAAATGAGAAGAATACTAAGCTGGATGTCAGACAAGACACATGGTCCTGTGCGTTTCATATAGCAAACACAACATTCTAAAAAAAACGACGTTTTTATTCCCTTTGACGTCTAGATGGGCGAATCATTTGAAATGAAAAGATTAAATTGAAACATTTTGCTTTCAAGTAATATTTCGTCATATTACCCCCCCCCCCTCCCTGCACACACACACACACACACACACACACACACACAGACAATGGTGGTGAAACGTATTCTGGTGGCAACAACTTCCCTCTCCGGGGCAGGAAGTTCACTCTGTGGGAGGGCGGATTGCACGGTGTGGGCTTTGTCACCGGCGGGAGGCTGCCGGTTAAAGGATTGGTCAACAATGAGCTGATCCACGTCTCTGATTGGTTCCCGACTCTGGTGGGTCTGGCCCAGGGCTCTCTCAACGGAACAAAGCCTTTGGACGGATTTGACATGTGGGACACCATCAGGTATGGAACACCTACAGTCAAATTTATCTTCATGATAACTTTATTTTGGGTACAGGTTGGTTTACGGTTTATCCACTCATGTAAAACAGCGTAGTTTTGGTCCATTTAATGTCTACTCACAACATTTATTTTAAAGATTAGATGCTTGGAAAAAGAGTTTGGTTCTAGTATAATCTCTTTTACCGATTGCTAATTTTTTCCGTGTTTTCCATTTTCTTTAAACTCCTGTATGATCTGAATTGTGTTGATGGGGGCAAGAGATACGATCAGTTAACCAACAAAACTGGTTTAGCTAAGCACATTTTTTCGCCCTGTTAGCCAAGTAGGAAGTGATTAAGTTTGACCAGTTTCCTGTTTATGCTTAAACTATTTTTTTTTTTTTTTTTTGGGGGGGGGGGGAGCGCTGTGGATAGAAGAATTGATACATCACTGAGTGAGTGCGATAACGTATTGGTGAAAGAATTGAAACAACCCTAAATGAGTGCAATAAATAATATTAAGGATAAAAGATTTGACAAGTCGCTGAGAGTGTAACATCTTATAATATTATGAATGAAAGCCTATAATAAATTTACCCTCGCTCTCAGTCAGCATCAGATTCTCCTGCAGTAGTCTTGAAAAAGCAGTAAATAATTATTACCTCTTGCTATCATCAGTAGGCCCAAATGTGTACATATTTTTTTTTACCGGCACGTCAAAGAAGAACATGGTAATCATCTCCAAGGTGCAGACCTTTCGGAGAACAGGTGACCACACGTCACCGCGACGCGTGGCCATGCAGTTGGTTATAATAAAGCGCTCATTTGATTATGCTGCCCAGAAAAGAATGGTAACGGACATTTTAACCAGTGATTTGACTGCCTGCGAGCAAGGGATTTTTAAAAAAAATCTTTCTCGCTTTTTTAAACGTTTAGAATTAGAATTTAGACAAAATTTTTACCGTGCACTTGCAGACGATACCATAGATGTAGAAACTGCAATAATAAAAGGGGGGGGGGGTGATTCCTTGCGGCATATTGACAACAGTTGGCCAACGATTTGGACAAAATATTTATACTTCGTTTAGTGACTGCAAGAACTTATGAATAAAAGAATTGATACGTCGCTGGGTGATTGATAGGACGTGTTGATAAAAGAATTGATACGTCGTTTAGTGACTACTGGAACGTACGGACAAAAGAATTGATTGTCGCTGTGAGTGAGTGCTAGAACGTATGGATAAAAATAACTGATTCGTCGTTTAGTGACTGCAGCAAAGGATCTGCTTCTTCCTCAGCCGCGGGACGCCCAGTGAACGCACCGTCTTACTTCACAACATTGACCCACTGTTCGCAAAACGGGGCGTGCCTTTGTACAACGACACTTTCGACACCAGCGTGCGGGCGGCTGTACGGGTTGGCGACATGAAGCTCATTACTGGAGACCCGGGCAAAGGAATTTGGATTCCGCCCCCTGGGGAGTCGTTGGATTTCCATATCGAAGACGGTAAGAGCTACATAGCCTATCTTCCCGGGCTTCCCCCTCCACTTCCCCTTTCCCCACCCCTTCCTTATCTCCTTCCCTTCTCCAGTGGTGTAGAGAACAGTCTGTTTTCCACATGCTTTGTGGGTCTGACATCAAGTTTGCTCTTGGATCGCAGAAGGCAAAAACCTGCAGAAGGAGGTGAATTTGATTTTCGGAAAAATTCAAACGAGATAAGACTTTTTTTCTAGTTTCAGGCAATGTTTGTTTGCTGTATTTGATGTACATTGTACATAATACTTTCGTGTGCCATTTTCTTTCATTATGATTGCAGTTTTTACTTTTGCTTGTATTACTTTCATTAAGAATGTCAACTTACACCACGCCGCGTTTTTGTTTGTTTCTCTGGCTTCAAGAAATGTGTCTGTAAAAGTATGAATCGATTATAACACCTTCTTCATTCTTCCTTTGCAAGTCATTGTAAATGTATATTTCGCTTATTTTCACCACTTTGTCTAGTTTCACAAACATTTTCTTTTGTGTTTTCCATTCCTACAACTGTTTTTGTTTTAAAAAAGTTTTCTTACCGGTGACCACCACCGTCTGTAGAGTAGTGGTTGGGCGCTTCAGTATTGCTTGCAGAAGGCCTGAGTTCGATTCTCTGCGAGAAAGCTGCGTCCTCTCAGCCCAGGTTGCTTGTGACAGACGTGGCAGAAGCCCGCCTCTTTATCGACATAAAATGTGTCGTTGGAGGTGTTAAAACACCTATATTTAAAATAAACCATTGTTTCTTTATTTTCCCCCTGCAATTCATCAGTGATTGTTACTTTTACTGCAAATGTGTCTATGACAGTGAATTCGTTGGGCTTTTTAAAATTTCAACCCTGGCATTCATGAGCATGTCTTTTTAGTTTCTCACCTGTTATGTTGTTTCCTTCAGACCGACAGAAGTCACCTGAGAAGAACGTGTGGTTGTTCAACATCACAGCTGACCCTAACGAGCACCATGACCTGTCTGACCAGATGCCGGACGTGGTTCTCTCCCTCCTGGGATATCTGGAACAGTTTAACGAGACATCCGTGCCACCAAATTGGCCACATTTTGACTGGAGAAGCAGCCCGGCGAGGCATGGCGGAGTTTACGGGCCGTGGATGTAGTCTTTCTTAGATTTTTTCCCCCGCTTCGTCGTTTCGGTTATTTTTGTCACTCGTATGTTTTGTTTTGTGTTTTATTATATTAAGTTTGTCTTACTGCAAATCTTTCTACGCTATGTACATCAATGTGCCTCGCTTGAAATCGGGAGTTACGTGACCGTTCTGCATACATGTATTGTCCTAAAACATAGATTTAGTGCTGAATCACTTTTGCGACGGAGCCACGTCTGTCATTTTATAGCCGGAGACCAGAGCCTTAAGTTATTGTTAAGTGTAAACTTATTTGTTTTTGTTGTAAATGCAGAAGGCCTTTAATAATAATAATAATAATAATAATAATAATAATAATAATAATAATAATAATAATAATAATAATAATAATAATAATAATAATAATAATAATAACAATAATAATAATAAATAGCATTTGTATAGCGCATATCCCCGCTCAATAGAAAGCTCTATGCGCATTACACCATATTATTACCCCAGCAGACCAAAGAACACTCCGAAACATTCTCGGCTTTCCGGGAAGCATACAGTGCAAGCAGCTGATTACGCGCTCAAACACTAACAAACTCACAAGATCTTTCGCTGTCTATAGCCGGGTACCCATTCCCACCTGGGTGAAGTGAGGAAAATTCGTGTAAAGTGCCTTTCCCAAGAACACAACGTCGGGCCCCAGACGGGATTCGAACCCACGACCTTACGGTTGCGAGTCCTAGAGCCTAACCACTAGGCCACCAAACGACCACTTTAGATCGTGCCCCATCCCCCAATACTGTTTTATTTACAACCCATAACTTTTATCTCATCTCCATAGCTGTATACACTCGTGGTTCTTGTGTAGGAGCTTCTTGTGGAGGATAGAAAGAAAATGTCTTTGGAGTTGGAGGTTCAGAACAACTGTAGGTGGTGGTCAGTTTATTTTGGGTGACCATAAAGCCGACATTGTGATGTGTTTTGTGAGCTGGTCGTTTTCAGGTCGTAGAAGTGGGTGTTGCCTTTGGAGGCTGGTCCTTTTTTCAAAGGGTTGACGTTAATTTTCTGAAGGGTTTGTTGGGTAGGCCATTGCTAGGATGATTTTAGGTTTAACAATTGTGTGTCAATAAATCACAAATGATTTGAAATTGAATGTTGAAAGCTTTTTACAACATGTTGTTGTTGTTGTTGTTGTTGTTGTTGTTGTTGTTGTTGTTGTTGTTGTTGTTGTTGTAATAGTATTGGATGTAGTGATTTTAATGGTGAGCTTGTGACAGATAACGATCTGGACATAGTTGCCGGAAATCCGAATCCTCAGAGAAAGCCCTTGTGTCACGACGTGGTGGAATCAAGCGCTCGTCAATTTTTAGGCATCTGGGGTTATTGGTGTCATCTTAAAGCCTGTTCATTTGCCTTCCTTTGGATGAAGAATTATTCATCTATGTTGAATAGTTGTCGAAATATGTACGATTGAAGGAGATCAAAGTCACCTTGTTTCAGAGACATAACTGGCTAGAAAATAGCCACCAAAGTTTGGTAACTTCCATACTCTGCTGAGAGTCATTGGAAACTGAAAATTTACATTTTTGTTTTTCAAGTAAAATCTACACAAAATGTGTTGTTTTTTTTTTTTTAACTTAAAAGGTGTTGAACCAAAAAATGAAAATTCGAAAAAAATGCCTTTCGGCACAAAAAATGCCGATTTCTTTTATTTCATTATTTTGACGAGCACTTGATTTCCCCACGATGCCTCACCTATAGGTTTGTGTGTTACGTAGACAGCCTTGACCTATTATTAGACTGTTGGCGGGAGAAAACTCCACCTGCCGGCGAGCCCAGCAAGATGACACATTTCTCGGATGTCTAGAGTGTAACACCTTTCATTGACCGAAGGTTAGATTATAGATTCATCAATATATCATTATGGTATATTACTATGCTTCGCTCACGCGATCTCAAATTATTTTTCCTCCACAGACCATAAATCCATAAGTGTCTGCCTCAATCTGACAATAATTTTGTTCGAGGGCCCTCTCGGTGACATTTTAACTCCGCTATGATGAAGAATGTGCTTTTTAAAAACCCCATGTTAATTTTTATACCAAGCAAGTATGAAGAGCTAGTTACGTCAGATGAATCAGATATTAGAGTATAGGTAGGGGCCTATTGGGAATAAAGGAAAATATCCATCAGAGATGACTGTATAGCTTTTGGAGAAAGAAAAAAAAGAAAGCATAGGCGTCAAGAAAAGAAGGTGAGCTAGAAATCCAGATTAGAGGTATACACAGATGTTTATCCAATAATCCAAATAAATAAATAAAGTGCTTGAAATGAACTTACAATTAAACAGGAAATCAAGGAAATTTTTAAAACTAAAGGGCGAATCCATCAGATTTTGAGCAGAGAGAATAGAGCACCGGAGAGGGAGGGGGCGGTTATTTTTGGCTTTGAAAAGCAAAGTAAGAGTAACGGTACTGTTAAAACTACACGTCCCAGTGTGATGGTACATGTACTATGTTCAATGACCTAAACACGTTCTGGAGAAATCTAAAGTTTTTATGATACACAGAATACCGCGTTGGTGAACAGGTGTCAAAAGATCTAGCAGATGCATTAATGGAGAAAACTACGTATCCATGGTTTTCAGACCAGAAAAAAAAGGTTAGGCATAGACCTATGTGAAATGCCGACAACTGACTACTTCAGAACCGGAAAAAACTGTTATATAAATGAAAACTTTACACTAGGTTGTGATGACTATACACCACCCTGTTACTTTTTTTTTCTTTTTTTTTTCTTTGAAACAAAAAAAAGGGGGGGGGGCGGCACTCTAGAAACCATTTGAACTCTATAAATCAGCGCAGGAGTATTGTAAACTTCATAAAGAGAGACTGTAAGGTGAAGTGAATAACTGGACCCTGAGCAGACCTTAGAACACCCAGAAAAATTCTCAGCTTCCCGGGAAGCATATAGTGCAAGCTGTGGATTGCACACGATAAAGCACAAAACGACAAGATCTTTCGCTATCTATAGCTGGGTACTCATTCCTATCTGAGTAGAGGAAAATTTGTGTAAAGTGCCTTTCCCAAGGACAAAATTATGTCGAGCTCCTGACGGGAATCGAACAAACTACCTTATGGTTGCGAGTCTGAGATCGTAACCACTTTGCCACCGACGAATCAGACATAAAAATGTCTTCACTGTTGTCTCAAGAATGATGGGAATTTTGTAGGTGCTGACTTTATATGTCATACGTGTATAAGAATGCACGCGTGCGCGTTTATAGGTGTGTTTGTGTGAGTGTGTGTGTGCGTGTGTGTGTGTATGTGTGTGTGTGTGTGTGTGTATGTGTGTGTGTGTGTGTGTGTATGTGTGTGTGTGGTGTGGTCCATCAAACAAATGAGCCAGTGCCTGGACAGTTAAGAAATCTTTAAAACAATTTGCTTGTTTATCATAATTTGTTTGATTGTTGTTGTTGTTGTTGATGATGATGATCTGGTAGTTGTGGCGGTTGCGATCGATGGTAATGTTGAATGCCCCCCCCCCTC